GCTTTGACTTCACAAAATAGAAAAATCTTGCCCTCATTAACATTTTATCGTAACTTACTTGTCTATTTTTGCATATTACTCACATGTATTTTTTTTTTTAGATTTTATTTATTTTAGACAGGGCAAAGAAAGGAGAAACAGAGAAAAAGAAACGTCAATGTGTGGTTGCCTCTTGCACGCTCCCTACTCGGGGGGACCTGTTCTGCAACCCAGGCATGTGCCCTAGACTGGGAATTAAACCAGTGACCCTTTGATTTGCAGAATGGCATTCAATCCACTGAGCCACACCAGCTAGGGCCTCATATGTATTTTTAATAACTGCAAATTTATTTGTATGGGTTAATTTAATTAATGATTTTTTTACAGTTGAACATTTTCAGTGTTTCCCCACATTTAGAATGTTTCTTTAAGATAACTTTTTTTGAGATGGAGAAATTTAGTTAAGGGGTATGAACACATTTAAGGCTTTTGACACAAGCTTCCAAATTCAAAGGGTTATATCAATTGTCACTGCCACTGGAAAAGGACAAAAGGAATTTTTTTTTACCTATTTGCCACCAATAATTAAAATCACTAAAATTTGTTTTTGTTGTGTTGATAGGTATATCATTTTAATTTTCCTTTTTATAACTAATCCAGTTGAGGTTATTTTTTACTAAGGTTAAAAAATTTTATTTGTTTTAATATTCTGTATATGTCTTTTGCCTTATTAAGGTATTGAATGTGCATGAGCTCTTTATGGAACAAAGATGTGAACCCTGTTTGATATTAACCCTCCCTTATAGTTATCTCAAAGGAGAAAAGCAGGAAATGATCAGAGTTTTGTGCCCCGAAGTCCTTGAAGTCAAAGAAGGCTTACGTACCACTCTCTTCCCAGTCCAGGGTCTGGCACGTAGCAGGTGTACCGTATGTGACACAGTGGAGGAACGCAGTCATGTCAAGCAGTGCACTGCACTCTGGGGGTCCAGAGACACCGAGACTAACAATGGCAAACATGGCTTGTTAAATTAAGCCTGGGCCAAGAAAGGACTTCCTGGTAAGCCAATCCTGATTTCATGGGTAGAAAGAGAAAATTTCATAGCCAGAGTACTAAGGGACACAAATAACTGGTAGCATCTGAAACAACCTAAAAAAAAAAGTAGGGGTAAAATGAAGAGACATCCAGAAAAGTTATTGAGTGAAGGAAACAAACAAAAGTGCCCTGAAATCAACAAAACAAATTAAGTGTTTATTCTCCATCCCTTATGTGTGAGTTATGTTGCTGGCCATGGTGGGTGATTAAAAAGATGTGTAGCCTCACTGTATTATACAATTATTCAATTCAGAAACTTTTTAGGTAACTCAAATGATGTATTCCGGTACAATTCTTGGTTATGCACACATACACTTATGTACATATATACTGGTGAGACCCACTGAAGGCTCAGGAGAAAGCACCTCCCAAACCAGGGAGGTCTAAAGGATTCTGGGGCCTTCCTTGTCTCCCCTTATGACAGGTCCTTTTTGGTCACAACAACATTTGGGGGAAAAGAAGAGAGAAAATCATTGAGGCACTCTCTGTTGCAATTGGATTTAGTATCTTTGCCCTTACCTGTGACTCTCACAGAGTTGTGAGTAAGAAGCTGGCAGAACCCATGCCACTAAGATAATAGGATACAGAGAGGGAACAATCTTTTTTGTGGTAGCAGATGTAAGAACTGCTTTGTGGTACTCTTCTGAGGGGGTCATATGAAAATTTCTATTACATACTTTATGGAATAATTTGCATTAGGTAAAATTTGTATACCCTCAGGAGTAATTATAAAAACATGATCCCTAATTTTAAGGGTAGACATGGCAAAAGCAAGAGATAGAGAAAATTATTACAAAACAAAACAGGGTGTGTTGTGAGGAAGAACATGAGAGAAACAATTCATAACTTACAAGTTGCTTCTGGTCAAGTTGGTACTGTAATGTTCCTTGAGGCAAGCTGTGAGCTGGAAAGATCACTTGAAAGACCCCTTTAGTCAGATGAATAAAGGTAGCTGGGCACCTTATATTGTGGGGGCAGGTCACGACTCTCCCTAAACTCATGGAGCCATTTGTTCTCTTTGTGATGACTTCAACTATATGGTAAATACAGTTGAACACCTATTATGTCCCAGGTACATCACCAAGAGCATTATCTGTATTATCACCTGTTGATCCCCCTGGACCAGTTCATTGTTAGTTCTTTTGACCCACACCCTGTGTCCCCAAGCTGAATTATGAATTCCATTACTAATGATTAATTGGTAATTAATAATGCTCTACTGATTCTGTTCACTTTTTTAATATAGCACTTCCCATTCTGCAGCCTACATTTCTGGCTGTCCCATCAGTCATTGAGCTTGATAAGAGCAGCACCCATATCTCACTCCAATTTCCCAGCATTTGTTAGTTCCTAAGTATTCTGTTGAGTAAATGTCGAGTGGAACTCTGTAACTTCAGACTCATTGAAGAAGCATGGAACTTTTGAACAAGTGAGGATTTAGAACCTTTGCTATAATTTTCTTTTACATATATGAAGACTCTAGTTGGAACAGGTAATTCCTCGAGGTCACATAAATTTGGTAGAATGAGATCAGAATCCAGTTCTATAGCTTTCCAGCTCCATACTTTCTTTTCTAGAAGATGCTACCAAAACACAGCTAAATATCTATTTCCCAATCTCCTGACCCCACCCAAATCCTATCAGCCCTTAGTCTTTGGGTCTTCAGACTATTTCTGTGATATGCAGTTTCCTACAAGGCTACACTTTTATGTGTAGCCTTTCTTTCACAGTTCCCCATTCCAAAGTCCAAACTCAAAATTGTCCAGCTTTTGCTGTAGCACCACGGTGTAAAAGTTTGCAGTGGGGGACATTCTGTCTACATTTTCACTAACAAGCTCTTTCCACAAGCTCGCTTTGATTCAGCCAAATTAAATGCTTGCTGGCACACCATCTCTTTCTTCACCATTTCTTGAGATATGCTGTTCATTGTCATTGGAGTATCCTTGTTCTTACCAAACTGGTGAACTTTAAGAACTGCTACTCCCCTTCTGGACTGTAAGCTTCTAGTGCAGAATGGAGACCTGGCTTTAGTCACACAGTAATCGAAGGAATGATTTTGTGTGTCTAGCACCTAGCAGTGTAGCCCTCAAAAAAGTTCACTGAATGACTGCATCTTTGGAAAATTACAGAAATGTAGCTTATTCTTCAGAGTTGTAAGCAACTCTCTACCAAAAATTGTGTTTCGAGGAAAAATAAGTAAATATGTTGGTGCACTGTCTTTTTTTTTCTTTAATTCATCTGTTATGACTGCCATTCTCACTCCCTCTGTGAACTCCACATTCTCCCAGCACCTCTGCCCCTGGACACTTGTGGGAGAGGAATCTACAAATTCCTTTGGGGCTCCATCACTGGAACAAGTTCTCAGTAGTTGGAGAAGTCTGGCTGCAACCAGGAAGTTTTTGTACTTTTGTCTAGTATGTGCCTGGGGCAAAAACTGCACAGTCCACCTGGAGACTGCAAGAGAAAATGATAGAGCGACACTAATCTTCACTATCCTCATCTGTGTGGACATTCTGACCCTGTCAGTCGGGGCTTCTCTTTCCAGAACTGTCATCTAGCATGCATATCAGAATAGCCCCGCAGCAAGTTGTCATGTTTGAAGCTCCTAACTCCTTTCCTTCACTTTAAACATTCTTGCACGGGACATTTAAAAAAATGTTTTGGAATTTTAAGTTTTCAAAGTATCGGAAGGATTGTCCTCTCTGGCAGGCTGGGGGCCAAAGAGAAACTGGCAGATCCCATAATCTAGAATCCCCTTTTCCTCCCACAATGCTCAAGACCCTTATCTTGACCCTTTCGCTCATATGAGGGGCAAGACAGCTTTCCTCCACCTGCGTGGCTGGCCTCCTCAAAGACATCTATTAGTCTCCAGATTTGCAGGGCAACTGGGGACTCTCGACCACGCGCCCAGGGCCCTTGTCCAGTCGTGGGGTTCTGGGGTCCACGCCAGCCCTGCGCAGACTGAGGAGATATGGCCAGTTCTAACGATGACCTCCCTCAGCCCTCCCCGAAGGCACGCGGGCCCCAGCCTGCGGGGCAGGTAGTCCAATGGGCAGCCTCGCTCTGGAGGCGGGCTCAGGCCGGAAGCCACCCCGCGGCACAGCAGCCCCGCGAGACGGCGCCCGCGCCCCCGCCCTCTCAGGCACTGGCTCCGCGGCCAAGGGCGGCAGGGGCCAACCCGCCGGGTGCCCGCCGCGCTCTTTGTCCTGGCCGCGCGCGGGCGGACGCGTGCGCCCCCCGGGTGAAGGGAGGCGCGGCAGGAGCGCGCGGGAGCGCGCGGGAACAGCTCGTGCCCGCTGAGCGCCGGTGGCGCGCGCCCCTCCGCCAGGCAAGCAGCGAGCACGCGCACCGCCGCCGCGCCCGCCCCTCCCCCCGCACTCGCCACGGAACTTGCTGACTGCGCGGCCGGGAGGAGCCGAGCCGGGCGGCGGCGGCGGGAGGCCACAGCGCGCGGGGGTCTCCCGCGTCCCTTCCGCCTCGTCGGGAGCTCGCGCCCTCGCCCAGCCGAGCTCCCACTCCCCCCCATTTTTTTCCGAAGGCGCTGGGCGGCGCCACCCTCCGGCCGGAGCCCGGCACTGCACAACCCCCTCCGACTTTCAATGTTCCACACTCCCCGGCCAGAGCCTCCTCGGCTTCTTTTTTTCCCTCCCCCCCCTTTCCCCCCCCCAGCTGCCTCCATTTCCTTAAGGAAGGGTTTTTTTCTCTCTCCCTCCCCCACACCGTAGCGGCGCGTGAGCGGGCCGGGCGGGCGGCCGAGGTAAGGCGGAGGGGCCGGGGGGCCGCGTGGGGGGCGGCCGGGGCGGCGGCGGTGGGGGAGGGGGTGGGGGCGGGCAGCTTTGTTCGCGCCGGGCGCCCGCGCCGCCGGTGTCCGCGAGCCGCGGCGGGGCCGGCTGGGCTGCTCGCATCACTTGGCGCCCGGCGCGGCGAGCGCTGCCCGCGGCCCCCGCGCGGCCCTCCCCACAAAGGGCCGCGGAGCTGCGTGGCCGCCGCCGCCGGCCGTGGCTCGCCTCCGCGGGTGCGGAAATTTGTTGCACTTCTTGGGGCTTTGTTTGTTTGTTTGTTTGTTTTTCTTCTGATATTTTTTTTCGTTATTTTGACAAAATGTCGGTCCGTGATGTAAAAATTGAGCGAGGAACCTTGATGGCATTGGGAGCTTTGCAGAAGGTGCAGTTTGGATTCTGCTTTTCCCAGGGTGGCAGCTCGGTCTTGGCCGGATGAATCTTTGCTGCTGGCCGTGGAAACGGCTAGAGGAGCTTGTTAGTTGATTTTTAAATTTCTAAGTGTTGTATTTAAAGGATTACGTGCACAGAGGAGGAGTCGCCACCTTAAATAAGCATATGGGCGATTAACAGGGCATGTTTTCCTCTCGGAAGGGGAATTTGGTAGCTTTGACCAATGTCAGTGTGTAAATATTTAGACGTTATTAGTGACTTTTGAACATTTTTCAGCGAGATTTGTTATTTACAGTGTGTCATATGTTATTAATGCTCGTTGCCTAAGTTCCCTGGCAAATCTGCTTCATGCCTTCTGAGAAAGTAGACAATTGATAGATTGTCCAAGGGATGGAAAAAAATGTGAGTGGGTTTTCTAACTTGAGTGCGGTAAATCCCTGAACGCAGGCGTTGTGAGACACACCACCTCTTCTGTAACCTTGCTGGCCATGTGATAAGTGTGAACACTTTTGAAGCGTTTTCATTAAAATACGACTTTAGGTGAATATTAAGAGAAGAATGTGCTATTGGCTTATTTCTCAGACTTACCGTTTCCTTTCTTCTCCCCCTTTCTTAAAAGTTTTCCAAGTAATAACTTCATCAAGATGTCCAGTGATAGGCAAAGGTCCGATGATGAGAGCCCCAGCACCAGCAGTGGTAGTTCAGATGCAGACCAGCGAGACCCAGCCGCTCCAGAGCCTGAAGAACAAGAAGAAAGGAAACCTTCTGCCACCCAGCAGAAGAAAAACACCAAACTCTCTAGCAAAACCACTGCTAAATTATCCACTAGTGCTAAAAGGTAATGTGTAAAAGAAGGATTAAGCACACTGTCAGGTTGCCTTCCAAATGGTTGGACACTTTCGTAGCAGTAGTTCAAAAAAATGTACTTCGTGGTCAGTTTTGTTTGTACTTGAATGCGTTGTCATTCTTCAGGTGGTATGTATATAAGCCATCTCCCTAGAATTATACTTTCAAGCAAACTTATTCTGTACTTTGGTAACTTCAGTAAGAGTGTCCTTGAGTAAAGATTGGATGTATATTCTCACCGATTGTTTAAGGAGTTGGGCAAGGAAAATTTGGTGAACCCAAATTAGTTGTTACATTGAGGATGTTCCTTTTAATGAGTCATACTCTTATTCATTGAAATTGACACACAGATCAGCAGTGCCTCTCTTCATGAAACTTAATGATCAGAAACAATCATGTTTGTTAGGGTATTTGTAAATTCACTGCCTTGGTTATATTTGAAAGCAGATTTTAAAACTGTGATTCATATATGCTTTCAGTTTTTTACACATGTATTTTAGATAATTACTTTTTGTCATTGAATTATGGTTATGCCTCCAAATTCCTGTGAGGGCAAATACAGCTGATAAGTAGCCATTTACAATTTTAGGTGGCTCTTGGTGATTGAAAACTTTAATTTGTCCCTGTGCCTTTACCCTCTTGAACTTGTGAATATGCTTGACACTTTAATACTCAGCAGTAGGACGAGTATTTTGTTGGGTATACTGGAAAGATCATTTGTTTCCTGTTGATTTTTATTATCTGTGATGGTGAAAATAATGTGCTGTCAAGTGGGACTCCATCAGTGGTGGTAGTGGAATATCCATGAATTGTAGTAATTATACATTAGATGTACCTACAGTATTAGTCAGTGTTGACATTTTGTTGGTTATCATTGATCACAGCCATAGGGAAAAGAAAATATAAAACTGGTCAAATATTGGCATTTTGTAGTGATGCAAAAGTACTCTTATTTTTCTATGGATTTTTAATCTTGTATCAATAATTAAGTGTTAATAATGAGAATATTTTATTAAATAGCAGTCTGCAATAATTTGTCATCTTTGTCAATTTGTTGTAATGTTATTGAGGAACATTTTTAAGATGTTAAGTTTTGGAAGCATTTTAAATTTGAATATAATCGATAACTACTTCCCCCTCTTTACTGAGAGTTATATAATGTGTCTCTTTATCTTTTTTCTCCCCAAATTTATTAAATTTAAGTGTTGTACTTAAGATTAGGGAAAACAGATATGGTTAAATCATGTCAGAGTCCTTTGGAAGTTTTTCACTGGTAAAGACATTTGTAAATTTTAAACTTATTTTTTACAGGTAAAATATCAAAACTATTAATGTGTCAGAGCAGTAGCTTGTTAATTCTTACCTTGGTAAAAGTGACTTGAAGTCGTTGTCAAATATTCTAGTGCTTTCCCCCCTCCCTTTTTGTCTTATTTGCATATAAGCTTGAAAAGAGAATTTCTTTGGTAAAAAGTGTTTTAAAATAGATTTTATATTCTTTACTGAGTGCTAGTGGAGGCCTATTTCTCAAAACAGGTGTAAATGTCTTACTTATTTACAGTAGCAAGTGAGAAAAAAAGCTGCAAAGTTTCTGTTAAGGGATTTGGGTTATGCCTCTGAGAACAAAGAGGAAGCAGCCATGTTAGCATTACTGAAGGCAAAGCCAGCCTTGCATTTAACTGCATGGTGGTAGAGGGCAGTGTAATTCCCCGGTTATTCTGTAGACTATCTCAAATCCTTTTTGTCTGTTCTCATTTCACTAACAGAATTCAGAAGGAGCTAGCTGAAATAACCCTTGATCCTCCTCCTAACTGCAGGTAATGAACAAATTTTGTTAATTTAGTTTCAAATTGTGGGAAAAATATGCAGATCAATGTATTGTCCATGGATGTGTGTGCTGCTGAAGAGGCTACATTTGCTGCTTTTCAGCTTTGAAAATGGATTAAACAGTGTCTATGGTGAATTAAGTAAATTTGGGAGAAAAAATACTTTTTAGTGTGTGTTATACATTTTGGACTTAGGTTCTGATTTTGTGCTTTTTACTGAGATTAGTGTGAACGGTGCTGATTTTTGTTCTGTCGTAATGTTTCTGTAGAGTGTGTTTATTCAGAAGCATATTGCAGAAACTTGTAAAATTTTTCTAAGTTTTAAAGTTACTGCTTATGTGCTACCTGAACTGACCTTCTAAATTTAGAAATCACTGAATGTGTTACAAATGTAAATGCAGTAAATAAGAGTATTGTGGTTTCTGTGTGATTTATTCAGTAACTTGCCTTAAGGACAAATTTTATGTGCTAAGCTAATGGTTTTAGTTATTTTCTAGAGAATGCGTTGTTGGAATTATTTACATTTTAATCAAATGTCCTAATTACTTGGAGACATTCTTAGTAATTTAGGTATTTGAAATATATGTATGAGAAGGAGTAAATGAATTGGAATTTGTGGAAAGAATTCATTTCAGTGGAACTCATGTAGAATAATTTAAGGTTGTTGGTTAGTATAAGGTGCATTAAAATAACTGGTTGATAATTTTTTCTTTGAAACATGTTTTCAGTTCATCTTAGTGCTGTGTTTCTCAACAGTGACTTTATGGTTTCTAAAATTCATCAAACTTAGAAAAACAATCATAAATAACTTGCATAGAGATATGCACTCAAGAATGAGAGTGGCTGCTAGAAATAAGGCAGTGCTGTGGTTTGGTTTGAAAATGTTTTCTTGTCTTACCTGTATTTTTGCTACCAAGTTTGTACACTGGTGAAGATGAGACCTATCTTTAAAGTCTTTGAGATATGATAGGGTATAATCCAATTACTTCCTGCTTTGTGTGTTAACCGATCCTCAGATAAGGTGATCTGATTCTGATTTATCTAGTGAATTAACAGTTCTGTTCATATTTATAATCAGCAATTTCAGTACCAAAAGGAAACAAGAATGTAAACTAATCCTAAACAGATAGTGGAATGTCATATCTGAAAGTATTACTTAAGCTGTGCTGTCCAGTGATGTAGCCACTAGTCACTTGGGGCTATTATCTACTTCAGCTTAGTCCAAAATGAGATATGTTCTAAATGTGAAATACACATTAAATTTTGAAAACTTAGTATGGAGAAAAGAATGTAAAATAATCTTACTGATGTACATTTTTTAATTACATGTTATATTGGGTATATAAAATATGGCTTAAAATAAATTTTACTTTTTATCTTTTACCATTTTAATGGGGTTATTAGAAAATTTAAAATTACATATATGGCTTATATTTGTATTGAATATATTTGTATTGAACAGCACTGCTCTAGAGAATAAATAAATCGAAGTATTTTCAGGCTTCTGAATATTATGTCACTAGCCATTTAGGAGTAGGGGTCAAGTTAAATTTGCTCTCTTGAAGAATCACCTCATTTGCACAGTGGATCTTGATATTTCTTATTACAAAAGGTATAAGGAACTATCAATTCAAAATTCTTAAATGTTTTAAAATTTCATGTAAGGTCAAACATTATTAAAGGTTTCTGTTGATTTTCTGCAAATGGCTCAAACTGTTGTACATGCATAAATCTAGAGAGTCCAGGAGACATGCATTGAATGTCTTTAGAGTAACAGCGTAGCTTTGCAGTTGTTAAAGAAATACGCTGTTCAGTTTAACACAGGAATGGTTCCACAAGGTCACTGAGGATTATTTTAGAGGAAGTAGAATCTTTCTAGAAGATAGAAAGTTAGCTTGTTTTTATTATTCTTTTTGTATACCACATTTAATTTCAGTCTGTGAAATAATGCTTCACATTAAATGATTAGACTAATGAAATAGCAAATACAAACTCCTGGCTTGTGAACAGTATCATCTTTCCTTTCCCTTGTCACAACATAAGTTTACTGTCAGCTATTGCAGTTGACATCTTTCAGTTCTTAAATTCTTTAATTTATGCATTTATTTGTAACAGTGAGTGATTAAAGAAAAAACAGAAAATGAGTTTTAGTAGGAAAGTGGGGGGAAGTTGTTTCTTAATTAGTTTTGTTACAGTCTTTTTCCATATACCCGAAGTGTAAAATATCCAGATACTTTTGTGTGTTGTGTCTTCCGTTTCTTTTGGGTGGAATACCTAGTCCTTGTCCTTGAGCAGGAATTTGGAACATTTGAGTGTTTAGGGGAGGCATTTTAGGATTTTCGATAATGAAGTCCAAGTTTGTATTGTATCCGTACCCATGTCAGGTATGTGACAGATTCTGGTGTTCTCATAATTCACAGGTGCATCAGTGAGAATTTTAGCTTTATGGTGATTATATAGTTCAAATGTCTTATATTATTAAAAATGGATTTTATATTAATAAATTTTAGAATATGTGAATTCATATTGCATAAAACTGATGAAACCTATTTCTTTTAACTTTCGTGTGTAGTTAATTAATCAGAATTATATTAAAGTTTTGAATGTGATTTTTACAAGGTTGTCAAAGTATGTGACAGATTTAATTGTTCCTCAGGGAAGAAATGAAAGTATATCTGTGTACATTTAGGAAAAAGTTGAATGAAATATAAGGTATAACTCTGTGAAACCATGATTATTCAGGCTAGATTAAGATTTCTTTTAAGTTCTTTTCTATGTCTAATTAATGAAATATTCTTCATTTATTATATAGCCATGTCTAATACTGTATTCACCCACGATGATTCTAGAATAGACTTAATTGTTGAATTATGTGTGTGGCCTTGAGCTTGTTTGAGTATATTTTGATACTATTGATATTTCTTTTGCTGATAGTATAAAAGTTTGATAAAATGTTATTTCTTATATGGCACTTTCAGTTTTTAGGTATTGGAGTGCCTTAGGCCAAAGCATCATCCTCAATGTAGGCATGATATTTTGTGGTTTAAATTTATACTCTCTTACATACTATAATCTAGATTAGGGTATAAATAGTTGATGAGAATGAAGAGAAATTGTATTATAGGCATTTTCTTATGTGTTTTTAGGGAAAGTTAATGACTAGAATTGTTGAATGACATGCTTTTCACATGTTTATATTCTACCTGTTTCCCAAAGTGTGTTCTTGTTCTCTCAGATACCACTTGTATAAGCAACAAAAATATAGTAAGATGCTGGATTTTTAACTCAACCTCTAATTCTTTCATACACGAGAAAGTACAAATACACATTCTTAAGATGTTTTTAATATATTCAGATTAAATCTGTGTTAAAGGAGATATTCAGGGACATTCGTAAGTTGTTTTTGTATGTGGGAAAAGTTTTATTGGAAGGAGGTTTTACAGTATCAAGTTATACTATTAATGTGTTTACGGTGCAAAACCTGAAAGCAGGTACTACAATACTTGGAAATTTTGCTAACTTCCTTGTTTTTAAAAGTAATTAATAAAAGGAGCAAATAAGTTCAAAACCAGAAGTTGGCAACCCTTGATTTAGTCATAAGCTTCTCTCTGTGAATGAACTCTACCTCCTTTTGAGGATTATTACTACTTTTCAACATTTTCTGGGGTGGACTAGAACTCTGTTGCTCAAAGAGTAATCTTGACACCAGCATCATCTGCGTCAGAGGTGAGACTGTTAGAAGTGTAGAATTTGCCTGCCCCCACTGCAGATGTACTGAATCCGAATTTGAATTTCAACAAGATTCCTAGGTGATTGTATGTACATTAAGGTTTGAAAAGCACTGGTGCTAGAGCTGAACTGTCTGGGTTCATATCCCCGTCTGGCACTTACTAGCTCTGTTACCTTAGATAAGTTATGGAATAGTTCTCTTTCAGTTTCTTTAGCTGTAAAATGGAGATTAAAAAGATACCATCTTTATAGGTTTGTTGTGAGTTAATACGTTGTAGTTTTGTAACAGTGTAAATTGGGTCCAAAAAAGTAGCCACAGTATAAGTATTAGGAGACAGTTTCATAGCTTTTCTCTTTCTTGCTTGCATTTCCTCCTGTACATCCCTCCTACCTTAGGGATAATTTCATCTTAATCAGTTCAGCACTCATTTATTGAGAACATATATTTGACGTTAGTAAAAGCAGTTACTTGGAACTTGAGTAAAAAAAGAAAATGTAAGAATATTGGGCAAAGATGAACAAATAGTATATTCCTATTAAAGGAATATGCATAAGGTTAATGATACTTAGCTCAGTAGGGAATGCTTTGACTGTCCAGGAAATTATAATGGAAAAATTTTAAGTAAGGTTGATGGTTGTTTGTCCTTTTAAATATTTCATTATAAGAATCCGAAGTTTTACTAAGAATGAGATTATGTCAGTATTTATAAAATACAGATTCTGAATTGATTTAGTTTACCAGTTACCTAAGCATAGAATCCTTTCCTTGTCTGTGATCTAAGGAGAGATTTGGAAGCTTTTCCTAAGTGGTATATGAAGGCAGGTCTTCATAAATAAACTGTGATATCTGCATAGCTTTGTTGCTTGCTTGTACAGTACCACTGGATTGTGAACCCTCCCACAGATATAGATTGCATTTTCTTTTTACCTATATATTTAATTGTTGGTATTATTCATGTTAGTGTGTGCTATGTGAATGCACTGCATTTTATAAAACAAATTATGTCTCATGAGTCATTTAGTCTTTTCATTTTCAACTCCAGGAAATTAACTGATAATTGGAAGCTTGATTTGTAAAACAGATAAATACAGAATTATACTCTCAGTGAAGATATTTTCCACCCCATCCTACTGTAGGCATCTACCAATGGATAGTTACTATAATTTTATTATTAATTAATTAAATCTTGGCATCAGCGTAGACCTCAAAAATCATGAGGATTTTTCTCAGCATTTGGTCATTATTGATAATTTTAAATATT